TTACTCATTCTGTGCCGTCCCTCTGGGTCCCTGAGCCTGCCCCCCTCCTCCTGAGTCTTTGACCCTTTTCTCTCTAGACCTCAAGGTCTCCAGGCCATTTCTCACTACCCTCCACCCCCACCCCACCCCCAGTCTCTCTCTCGTGGTCTCTGTACCTTTTTCTCAGGGATGTGCCCCTCTCTCTGGGACTCTGTCCGCCTCGTCCTGAGTCTTTGCCCCCTCTTATCTCTGTCCTCCACTACTCCCTCAGTCTGTCGTTCTCTCTCTTTCTCTTTCTCTTTCTCTCTCTCTCTCTCTCTCTCTCTCTCTCTCTCTCTCTCTCTCTCTCTCGGTCTCTGCCCTTTCATCTGAGTCTCTGTCTCCTCCCTCTTGTTCTCTGACGACCTCCCTTCCCCTTTTCCCTCCCTCTAGCCCTCCCCTTGTACTTCCCCTTCCTCAGTCTCTTTCCCCCTGTCTCTGCCTTTTCTCTTTCTAGCTATCTGCCCTCTCTCTCTCCCTCTCTCTCTGGGTCTCTCCTTCTCTTTCTCTCTGTCCCCTCCCCAGGTCTCTGTTCCTCCCATGTCGCACCCCCTTCTGGGTCTCTGTCTCTCTCTTTCTAGGTCTCTGTCCCTCTCTCTCTGGGTCTCTGACCCTTTCCCGCTGGGCCCCCATGGCCTCCCTAACCTTTGTCCTGGCTGGGACTGCATCACTGCAGAGAGATTTGCAGGAGTGAGGCCTGCTCTGCAGACCAGGGAGGTAGCTGCCCTCACTCCCCAGACCCTGTGGGAGCGAAGGGGGCGGGTCAGGGGGCTGCGGGCACTGCCCCTAGTCCAGTATCTAGGATCCTCGGGCAGCCCTCGAGCCTCGGATGGGGCCCAAGAGGGTAGAGAAAAGGCATAGACCTCTCCCACCCCTCTCTGCCCTGAATTCTGGAGTACCCTCAGGCAGAAGCAAGGGAATCTTGGGGTGAGGGACCGGGCTGGGGTTGAGCGAGGCTCCCGGGCCAGTTGGGGGTGGAGAGGAGGCTGGCACAGGGGTTGAGCAAGCATGAGGGGCTAGGGTAAGGACTTAAGTCAGGCATCTCCCTCCTTAGCCTCTCCCCCTCAACCCTACTTTTCCCTTCTGCTTTTGACAGCAGCCAGGCACAGGATCAAGTTACCAAATCAGCGTTTTTCAGAGGTCAGAAGGTGTGGGGGAAGGCGGGGGCTGGTGGGGAAAAGGGACTGGAATGAGGGAGAATGTGGGGTGAGATGCAAGATTAGAGGCCATGGGAGGGAAAGAGGCAGCAGGCCAGGAGGAAGTAACAGGAAGGTCCAGACTCCACGGATCCTGGGAAATTTGGGTGCCATCACTCCCTCAAGGCCCTCCCCAGGCCCCACCTGGGTAAATGGGGAGCCTTGATTCTGCCCCCCACTCAGAGAGGAGGGGGCTTTTAAAGGCGTGGCCCTGGCTACCGGTCGCCTAGCTGTGTTCAAAGACATTGGGGGCGGTGGGAAGGAAGGGGCAGTGGACTTCACTTTTGGCGATGGACACCAGGAGGGGAGAGGCCAACATCTGTCCACGTTTTTAGTTCCGTCCGCCACACCTGCTCCTCCCCGGTCCAGGTCCATCCTTCCCCAGGCCCTCAAGGCACAAAATTCCAGTAAGCTCCAGCTCCCACCTCCATCCTCTGTGTTCCTTCACCAAGCTCGCTCCTCCATTACTCCTGGAATTGAGGAAGGGTCTTCCTCTCCCTGACTTCTAGGACCCCTTCCTTGTTCCTCCGCCCCACTCCCATCCGTTCCAAATACAGTAAAGGGAGTCTCCGGACACTAAAGCTGAAAATAGAGGAAGTCCCTGCCTACTCTCCTTGGTCCCCCGAGACCCTCCAAGTACCTTGGCCCACAAAGCTCAGAATCCAGTGGAATCTCTCCGCTGTAATCTTTGGATCCTCGTCTCCCGAGCCCCCCGCCTCAGAAACCGGGTCGTACCGCACCCGGACCCTGAGCCTTCGCCCCCTCCCCCGTACTCACCCCAAGTCGAGGCGAGGCGGGGATGGGGGGGATCCGGGGCTGGAGATGGGGGGAGGGGTGACCCAGCCCTGGCAGCTCTGGGCAGCAAGAAGCTGCGGAGAGGGGAGTGACATCACCACCGGAGGAGGGGCAGCACCGCTTCCCCCAACCCGGGGGCTTCAAGCTCCGCCTTTATGGCGGCCCCAGGGGTCCCGCAATCCCAAGGGGGGAGAGGAGAAACAGGAGATGAGGTCCGGGAGAATGATGTCCCTCCCCTAGGAACAAGGGTTGAGGAGCCCTTTACCGATTTCAGCCACTCCCCGCTGCCACCTGTCGCTGCCGTCGCGACCTGTCTCGCCTCCCACGCGTGTTGTGGCTGCGCCCGCCCCCGCGGAAACGTGAACCCCGCGTGGACTACAACTCCCGTGACGCTCCGCGGTGCCGGGAACCTTGACGACAGGCAGTGTAGGCGAGGGGCTTCATGGGATCCGTAGTACAAGACCCTCTCACAGGCGCCTTGGGGAAAATGGGTCATACCTTCCCTTCCCTCGCTTCCTCAACTCGGGAATTTTTCTCTCCTTAAAGCGCGCTCTTAAAAGAAGCAGCCCAGGCAGGTTGGTTCCATGGAGACAGTGGATTTTCACCGGGGGGCGGGACCCCCGCGACCACCCGGTTACGCACGCGCCTAGCCCGGGCGCCAGAGGGAGAACTGCGCTTGCGCGGGCCGGGCTCTAGCCGGCTGGCTCCAAGAGCGCGAGCGCGCGCCTGCCGGACTCGGCCTGGTTCTTGCTGTCCCCGTGGTCGAAAACGGCCACGTAGGCCCCCAAGAAGACGTCGCCGAGGATCCAGAGGGGCCCTACAGGAGGAGGCATGTCCAGGGCCTGGAAGCCGGACAAGCAGAGGTGGACGCCGCCCCGAGAAATCTGCAAGGCGACAAGACAGGACAACTGGGTGTCACGTCCACAGGGTCCGTCGTTTCCCTGGGAGCCAGTGCTTCGCCCCCTCCACTACTCCGGGGACAAGAGATGTTTCTGTAGCCCCTAACCGTCCTGGTGGTGTTTGGCTCCCAGCTGTACACTCTCAAACCCAGTCTACTGTGCCGCTCTGACGTCATTGTGATGGCCACCTACCTGGATGACGTAATCCTGGGCTGTGAGGTTAAACCAGACCCCCCCAAAGAGGAAGGAGACCGGGGGGAGCTTTGGGATTTCCGAACACCGGATGAGGTACTGGGGGAGAAGAGGGACAAGTGAGGCAGGGACATTCCCACTCTGCTCAAATCCTTTCCGTGGCTCCCCAGTGCCATAGGGTAATGTCCATATTGGGCAGGTATTCAGGGCCGTGTGTGGACAGACCTTGTTGCCTAGGCTTTTCTCATCCAGTCCCAAATAAACCTACCTGATCATACCTCCCCACACACACCCGCTGCCATCCACTGAGTCACTTCGACTCTCGGGAAGTGACCTGGCTTCCTCCCACCACCCTTCAGGTGCAGCCCCTCTGTCCTGGGAAACCCCCTACCCACCTGCTTTCCACTCTCAGGCCCCCTTTTCACCATCGCACCGCTATCAGCCTCCCCAGTCCGTGCCCACCAGATACTGGGGCCTCACCTCCCCCACCAGCAGGGAGAGGCCCCCGATGGCGTCATTCAGGGCCTGAATCTCCTCAGTGGGTCCTGTGATGAGGGATGTGCCCGTATCCAGGATGGCAGCACAGCCCCGGGCACAGAGAGTCAGCCCTGTGCCCACCTTCACGCTGTGGGGGGAAAGGGGGCAGTCATTAGAGGCAGGGTCCTAGGAGTCTAGGCCCCCAGCGCCAGACTCCGGAGACCATGACCCTCACCGCTCCATGTGGATCTGCCAGTAGGCGGGAACTGTGACTGGCAGGAAGGTGAGGGGTGGGACGTAGTGCGCTGGGTCCGAGCCGCCCAGGACTAGCTCTCCTCCATCCGCCGCATCAGGGTCCCTGCAGAGGCAGAGTGCTGTCGGTGTCACCAGCATTCCCTCCACCAGGCCTCGGTGTGGCCAGGGAGTGGGACTTCCCGCCTCAGGGGTCCTTTCTGGGGTTCTAGGCAGGGTAGTGGGATGCCGGCAGCGTCTGGATGTTGGGAATGGAAACAAGGCCAGAAGTGAGGGGCGATGGTGCTGCTCTTGTCGGAGGTTGGGACGTTCAGGGGTTGGGGACTTCCTGAAGTGGGGATGGGACTGCTTGATTTGGCTGCGGAACGTGGAACTTTTGAGGGGAAATTTCCTGAGCTGAATAGCATGGCAGCCAAGCAGAGCTGTTGGGTTTCTGACTTGGCTCTCGAAGGTATGACTTGGGCAGGGGTGGGGTGGGCGGTGAGACTTTCTGAATTGCGTGTCCTGGTATTATTAGAGAGGTGTTAAACTTCCTGAGTTGGCTGAGGGTGATGGAAAAGGGGCGGGGACTTCCTGGAAGGTTGAGGAGGGTGGGGTCTACTGAAAGGTGGCTGGAGCACCTTGAGTGGGTGCGACGTCTTGAGCTGGGTGGGCATGGGATTTTCTGACTGCAGGGGATTGGGCCTCTGGATGGGAAGCGGAGACTTCTTGGGTGGTGGGTGGGACTCGAGAGTGAACTTCTGAAAACGTGGCTGGGACTTCTTGGGTCAGCACTGGCCATTCGTGACTTCGGATCAGTGTTCTCAGATGGAACTTGAGCTGTCCTTGGGGTAAAGTGTTCCTGTGTTGAGTATTTGGTTGGGTGGGGCGTGGAATTTCCTGGTTTGATTTTGAAACGTGGAACATTTTGTACTGATGGTCATTTTCTTTTCTTTTCTTTTCTTTTTTTGAGTTGAAGTCTCACTCTGTCGCCCAGACTGGAGTGCAGTGGCACGCTCCCTGCTGGGCTCCAGTGATCCTTCCGCTCAGCCTTCCAAGTAGCTGGAACTACAGGCGCGTGCTACCACACCCGGCTGATTTTTTTTTTTTTTTTTTTGTAGAGATGAGGTCTCGCCAAGTTGCCCGGGCGGGTCTCGAACCCGCGGGCTCAGGCAGTCCACTCACCTCAGCCTTCCAAAGCATGGGATTACAGGCTGAACCACGGAGCCCGGCCTGATGGTCATTTTCTTTGGTATGGCTTAAGTTGTCACTTACGCTGTGGGACTTCTGAATGCGGTTCAGGTGTTTCTTATATTATGTGACTTCCTGAATGGAGGATGCAAGTTCCTGTATTGGATAGATGACTTCCTGAATGGAGAGTATAGGTGGGTAACTCTCTGGAAGGAGGGAGGGACTTCCAAATTGGGTGAGTGACTTCCTGGATGAAGGATGGGATTTGCTATTGGGTAAGAGACTTCCTGAAGGAGGGCGGAACTTTCACCTTGGCAATGGGATTCATAGATAGGTAGACCCTCCCCCATACCTGTTGAGGTAAAAGGAGAAGATGGGTTTGTCCAGTAGCCCCTGTTCCACCAGTACATCCAGTGGGGGCCGAGCTCCTTCCACGGCAAGAATGGGGAAGCCGAGGCCCAATATCCCATCGAAGTGGGCAAAAGTGAAGACCAGGCTGGGCTCCCACAGAGCCTCTCCGAAAATCACTGATGCACCCTCGAGGCCCCCAATCTAGGGGTAGTTTGAGATGAGGCCGGTTACTTCTGGGAGGACACAACCCATGTGTCCCTGAGATCCTCCAAATCAACGTGTGAATTCCAGGTCTGGGGACATCTGGAACCGAGTCCCAGCTGCCTGGAAACTGGCTCCCTTCTGAAGAAACCCCTCTCCTTCACTCAGGAAGCTCCTCCTCCCTTGAGAAGCCCCACCCCCTTACTCAGGAAGCCCCACCTCCTTTCTTGATAAGTCCCACCCCTTCACCACAGAAGCCCCTCCTTCCTTCTTGAGAGGCCCCACCCCTTCACCCCAGAAGCCCTTCCTCCCTTGAGGAGCCCCACCCCTTCACTCAGGAAGCCCCACCTCCTTTCTTGATAAGCCCCACCCCTTTACCACACAAGCCCCTCCTCCCTTCTTGAGACTCCCCCCACTCTTCACCCCAGAAGCCCTTCCTCCCTTATTGAGAATCCCCACCCTTCATTCAGGAAGACCCGCCTCTCTTCTTGATAAATCCCACCCCTTCACCACAGAAGCTCCTCCTTCCCTTATTAAATAGGGAAGCCTCCCCCCCGGAAGCCCCTCCTCCTTTATTGAGAAGCCCCGCCCCTTCACTCAGGAAGCCCATCCTCTCCATCCAACCGTCCGCTCAGGAATCACTTCTTCCTCAAGACCCTCTCTTAGCAAGATGTTCTTAGACATTGGGGTTGTCCCAGGGTCAAGGCTTCCTGCAGTCAGAGGTCACGCACGATCAGCTTGTCCTCACTCAGGATTCCGTCTAGCCGCCCACGTCCATATTGAATGGCAAACTTGGTCCCGTTGGGTCGGAAGGAGCTGGAGGCTTGGGGATTGAAGCGGTGGTGGACCCCTAGGTCGGAAGGTCAGAGAGTTCTCCCTGGGGGAGGGGAATCACCCGGATGCCTCCTGCCCCTTTGACCTTCTGACCTGTGAGGGCATCGGAAAAGAACAGCGCCCCTCCGCAAGACCCACGTGAAGCCGAGACCCAGCGCCTCCTTCTCTCTTCACCCTCCCAGCCTTATTCTCCCCCAAGAAAGCTCACAGCACGGCAAACTCAAGAAGTGGCATCTCCTGGACGGGACCCAGAGGTTGGAGGAACCGGTGTCAAAGACGACAGTGAAGTTTTGTGGGGGCGTTCCCAGCCCAATTTCCCCAAAATACTGGACCTGATGGCAGAAGAGGAAGCAGGGTAAGTGAGGAGTTTGGCTCAGGGGTGCAAGTGTGGGGCTGTGTGGGGCTGTGACTCACGTCCAGGTAGTTGGAGAGGGGCACAAAGACAGGCTTGGCCCCCGGGAATGGGGCCCCCAACCTGAAGGACTCTGCTGGTTCTCCCCATCCCCTCAGGCGGCCCAGGGTCCTGCGTCCAAGGTGGGCTCGGCGAAGAGGGATCCTGTAGGGGAAGGATGCTGGCAGTCAGGAAGCTGCCCTTCTTGGAGACCCTCTGTGATAGACCTCCCCAGACAGGACGCCATGACAAACATCTCCAGGGCTCGGCAATAGTGTCATTACCAAGAAGCCCTATAACAACCTTCCAGAAAACCCTGTCAAAGATACCACAAGGACAAATATGCCCTAGAGCAAACCATCCCAAACACACCTTTCAACATACAAGTACCTTAAAATACCTTAAAATAAGCTAATACCTTTTTTTTTTTCTAAGTAGGAGTCTCCCTCCGTTGCCCAGGCTGGAGTGCAGTGGCACGCTGACGGCCACCACAGCCTTGACCTGCTGGGCTTCCAAGTAGCTGGGACTAGAGGCACACGTCACCATGCCCGACTAATGTTTTGATTTTGTAATGACGAGGTCTCGCCAAGTTGCCCAGGCTGGTCTCGAATCCCTGGCTCAGGCAATCCTCTCAACCCTGCCTCCCAAAGTGCCAGGATATTGATAACCTCTACTTCCCCCAGCACACACATACACACACAAAGCTGTAAATAAAGTTAAAAACCAAAAAAACTGGGGGAAATAATTACAAACTGTACGTCAAAGGGTTAATATTCTTAATATGCAAAGAGCTTCTACAAATAAATAAGAATAGGATAACTCAATGTCTGGAGACAATACCCCATGAGTTTTTGCAGAGACAGTTAAAAGAATTTAAACCAAAAGCCAGGCTCGGTGGCTCAGCCTGTAATCCCACACCTTTGGGAGGCTGAGGTGAGAGGATTGCCTGAGCCCGCGGGTTTGAGACCCACTTGGGCAACTCAGCAAGACCTCATCTCTACAATAAATCAAAAAAATGAGCCGGGCATGGTAGCGCGCACCTGTAG